AGGAAGGAAGGAAGGAAGGAAGGAAGGAAGGAAGGAAGGAAGGAAGGAAGGAAGGAGTGCCAGTCGCCCGCCCCAAATGTGAGCTGCACATAAAGAACAGGCAGGGCTTTGATCGCACCGTTGGGGCCACCATCTTGACTCTCTGACCATACCCCGTGGACACCCCTGCGTGGGGGGATTCCACTTCCAGGCTTCCAATACTCCATGCCAAGTCCTGGCATCTTCTCTGGTTCTGCTACCCAACGACCTGGGACGAAGTGGAGATCCGAGGCAGCATTTTGGCTTCTGGAATAGGTGGCCAGCCACGGAGGGGCACCACGCTGGATGGGATGAGTTGTCCCTGGACGTGGGCCTCCCATCATTTCAACCTATAATGCAGCCTCTACAGAGCATGAAAAGGAGCACAGACGCTGTCTTGGGCGGGGGACCTGCCCTCTTCAGTGGGCATCCTCGGGATCTGAGTGCGGCCCCCCTCCCGTCTTGCTCGTGGGCACCTGGTGGCCACTGTGGAACTGGATCGGATGAGCCCTTGGTCTTGTGGAGCATCCTTGCTCTTTCCTTCACCTTTATTGCCAAAGAACTGAATTCCTGTCGAACATAGAAATAAATGTCCCTCCCTCCCTTCCTTCCGTCTTTTCTTCCTTCCTTCCTTCCTAAACACATTTCTGTGGCCACCCATCTCACTGCACGTGACTCTGGGGGGCGTGCAACCAACAATTCAAACCACGTCACAACTATTAAAACACTTTAAAAAATAAATAAATAACAAGATTGGGGAGGTGGGGTGTGTGCACGTGTGCACGTGCAGCATTTTAAATTTCCTGTGCAAAAAGCTGAGGATAGATGCTCCCGATTAGGCAGAGGCCTGCCTCTCTGCCCTGGGGTCTCTCCCTGCCTACCCCGTCCGTCTTTCTCTCCCCCCAGTGACCACTTGTCCAGACCCCGGGGACGTGGACCACAGCCGGCGGCTGGTCTCTGCCAACAAATTCCCCGTCGGCTCCACCATCCAGTTCCTCTGCGACAAAGGCTACGTCCTGGCGGGGAGTGGGGAGATCGTCTGCCATGACCGACAGGCTGGGGGGCCGAAGTGGAGCGACCGCCTCCCCAAATGCATCCGTAAGCCACGCAGAGCGGCCACATCCAGGGCGTTCTGCCCTGGAGAAACACGTGGGCAGCAGCCGTGGTCTTCTGCATGCGCGAGGACCGAGGCTCTCGAGAGCCCAGGACTCAGGAATAGCCACTCATTTACTCGAAGGGTCATTTTCTAATGCTGAAGCTGCTCCTCCCATGGCAGGCTGCAGATCTAAGAATAAGTGAGCAAGCTCAGTGACAGAACAGAAAGGAAGGGCAGGTGGGCAGGAAGTGGGCTCACCTCCTGGCATTCTGCTTCTTCCAGACGAGGTCTACGAACCCTGCCGCAATCCGGGCGGACCCGAGCATGGCGCTCAGCACCCCGAAAAGCGGCTGTACCAGCCCGGGGCCACCCTGCGTTTCTCCTGTGCCGCCGGCTACCTGCTGCTGGGCGACACCGTCCTCCGCTGCCTGCCTGGGCACCCCTCGCACTGGAGCGGCCCTCCCCCGCTCTGCAAAGCCGGTCAGTCCCAGGGCTCCCCGGGGATCTGGGCCCAGTGTCAGCTACCCATGGAAGGGGGGGACATGCGGCCACCTCCAGAGTCCTCTGCACAGTGGACAGACCCCACGTATTGTAAGGGGGGGTCTTCAGCTGCATGAGTCTGCCGAACCCGTGCCAGCATCTGAGTTCCTGCTGGTGAAGAAGGAACCAGCATCTGGAGGCTTTTGAAAGGAAGCTGGTCAGTCGCTTTCCCCAAAGCTGATTTTCCTGCACATTGTAGAGCAGTGCTTCTCAACCTTGGCCCCTTTAAGATGGGTGGACTTCAACTCCCAGAATTCC